ATCTATCTATCTATCTATCTATCTATCTATCTATCTATCTATCTATCTATCTATCTATTTATTTATTTATTTATTTATTTATTTGCTACCGCAGAAGCTCTAGAATCTTCTGACAAAGCTCCGGGAGGCATGAATTACCCAGGGTGTGAATCACAGAGGCCACAAAGAAAAACATAACACACCTTCAACTAATCCTTAATGATGCTAACAAAGCCAGAATTGGATGAATTAGGAATTGGCGTTGCCCCCATAGGGCTGCTGCTAGGAAACCATGATCTGAGCAAGGTTCAGTCAGTAGCACCTTCAAACCACCACATGCCTTGAAGAGGAAGAACTGGTAATAACTACACACATGCATGCACGCACACACACACACACACAGACGCATACGCCTGGGGAAGCATGTTTCTTGTCACTCAAGATTTGTTTGCATCCTACTTCTCCGTTCCTCTCTGTACATTCAATCTTTAATTCAAAAAAGGAAAGGGTGTGAGGGAACAGCAGCAGGCAAGGCAACCTACAGGATCAAGCATGAGCCTGGGAGAGTCTGTGGTTGTCGGATCCTCCCTGCCATCTTGTCTTCCATAGGAGGGCAGGCAGCACAGGACACCTGCCACCTGCCCAGCAGGATGAGGCAGGAACTACCGGTTTACCTTGCTACAGCTACCGCCACCATCCCCTTCCTGAATTGGTTAGCTATGCCTTGCCCCGTGCACTCATAGACACCAGACATCAGTACCCTCTGGTGGTGACAGGGAGATGAGACAGCTTGCAGCCGTGCAGAAATCTGCAACCTGAAGGGATGGGAGAACCAGGACCCAAGGGGTCATTCCTTGCTGTAAGATTTCAGAAAGGTCAGCTAAAGAGCAGAGGCTTGAATGCTTATAATTGGGGCTTAACCTGTGGTGTGTTCCCCACCACCAAATATGCTGGCAGGCCTCTCAAAGAGCTCTGGCGGGCTTCCCTGGTGGGAGGCAGCCATGGCAGATGGGGAGGCAGTCTCACTATGTCTGTGACTAGGGCAGTGGCTTAACAAAGTCATTTAAATTCGCCGCAGCGCCCAGAGGCCCCCTGGCTGAGTGTTACCTAAAGGGCAGGCATTTCAACTTCTCTGTTCAACTTTGAGGTAATGTGAAAAACCTGAATGGCAGCTTCTGCTCGCAGGAGTACTGGAGAAAGGGACTAGACAGGAGGCTGATGAGAGCAGGCAAGCCTTCTGGAGCTTGGAAGCTGCCACTGTTGTTATTTTTTGCCGACAACTCCTGGAATTCCACAGCCAGGCTGGCTAGGGAGTTATCAGGGTAACAGTCCATAGAAGTAACTTTTCCAAAGCCTTGGTAAGCCCTACTGGCCTGCTGGGACCCTGACGAAGTAACTTTTCCAAAGCCTTGGTAAGCCCTACTGGCCTGCTGGGACCCTGATAGCTGCCCAAAATGTAAGGAACTGAGATAGCGGAACTGTAACTTCATAGAGCAGGTTCACAGGCCTACTCCCAACGGAAGGAGTCAAGGGCGACAGAGCCAGCAGCCATTTTAAGGAAGGTTGGACCAAGACAAAGGAAGGAATGCCCCCTTCCCAAGTCAATGAAATAACTAAAGGCAGCCCAGATATTTTGATGTGTGAGCCAGAAACACCTGTCCCTTCCATGGCAACAGAATAATAAATGGCATAACTAATAATTTGCAGTCTTTTCATGACATCCAAAAACTTCTGCCTCACTCTGCTTAATGGTAGGGCTAGTCCTGATTTTCACTTTGCTTTCTCAGGACACAAATAAATTATTTGTAGTGGGGGTGGGGGTGGTCAGGGTTTGCCGAACAACTCCATGTTTATTTCATGAGATATTATGTTCTCCCCTCCCCATCCCCAGTCACATCTCTGTTGTGAGGAAACTGTTCATAATTAACTAAAAACTACAGATAAGGATTGCTAAACAGAAATAATTCCCTCCCCGCCATCTCACACAGACACAAACCCACACACCACAAATGCATCGAGACTTCATGAAAGTCCTGTATAACTTTGCACTGTGAGGAGCAAAGGTATTACAGCTGGACAGTTCCTGTTCCACTAGTGAACACAAAAAGAACAATCTCATTACACATTTTATGAAAACTCTGCCTAGCTCCCTTCTTTGCCCCTTTTTTTCCTGTTAAGACAAATTTATTCCCAAAGATATTTGTTGGCTATTGGGGAGTGTTGCTTTGCCATTTGCATAGAGTGTTGCTTTAGCATTTTACTTTATTGTATTTTCTAGTTTTATGTACATCTCTTTTGTGATTTCAGTACCCACTGAGCAGAAAATCCAACTTAGTCCAACTGCACTGGAGAACGCTTCACAATTTGCTCTAGAATAAGTTCAGGTGAATTCAAAATATTATTCAATGATCACATGACATAAAGGTCAATGCAAATAAGCCATTCTCTTTTTTCCCCCTTCTAATCTGGATTTTCACTCCCTGCCACTGGGGGCTTCTCCTTTTTTTTCAACTGCAGTGATCCAAATGGTATTTTGTAACATGAAAGGACCAGGGAAATGATTTTGGTGGTTTTCTGGTGACGCAGGAAGTTGGGGTGTGATGTTTTGCTTGCCACTGGGGGCTTCTACTTTTTTTCAACTGCAGTGATCCAAATGGTGTTTTGTAACACAAAAGGACCAGGAAAATGATTTTGGTGGTTTTCTGGTGATGCAGGAAGTTGGGGTGTGATGTTTTGGGTTAGCGGGAACACCCACCCCTGCTGTCAAGTCGTATCTGACTTATAGTGGTCCTAATAGGGCTTTCAAGGTAAGTGAGAACTTAAGTGCTGTCCTTCAGCAGAACAACCCCTTGGGAGTTTCCATGGCCAAGCAGGGGATTCAAACACGTCCCCACAGGTCTAGGCTGTCATGCTACCTGCTACACCACAATGGTCCCATTTTGTTACATCTTCTTAAACCCACCACAGTTCTCCCCTTTCAGACTTTCTCACCTCCGGATTCCAGCAGCTTCATCTCCTTCATCATGCGGGGCCCTTTGCTTCAGCTGTTTCCGAATATCTTTCCAGCGCTCCTCCAGCTGTTGTCTGAATGGATCTAACTCCAAACGGTCCAACTGCAGAAGATGGGCACAAAGGTTCTGAAGAGAACTCCATCTTCAAGGCACAGATATTAATGCTAGATTAACCATCACACTGCATACAGTTCAGCGGTGGCACTGCTAAGGCATCTTAAAAGGCTCTAAAACAGGTTATTCGCTTCCTGCAATGTGTGCCTCTGCATCTCAAACATCACATGTAGAGGGAGATTTTTGGCTAATGACAGCCTGAAATAATGGTGACTTGGTTCAGCAGGAAAAACAAATCAACTTTACTTGCTCTACTGTGGCAAGTTTCAAGCACAGAAAAGGAGAAAGGCTGCATATTTACCCTGCCCTCTTTAAGTATTTGAATGAATATTTCTCCATGTGTCAACAAACACTAGTTAAGTGCTGTCCTTAGTCCAACTACACTGGAGAACGCTACACAAAGCCATGTAAGCCAATGTGATACACCATCACGTACAAAAACTATTCAGTCTTTATCTCTATTGATGCTCTCACCACCCACCCACAAACAAGCACCTAGCCTCTCCCTTCACTATTATTACTTCCTAGACATGGAAAGCAACATGTCTGCAGTAGAGATTATTATTTGTTTGTTTATTAATTAATTTATTTGTTTATTTATTAATTTACTAAACAAACATCCAACCTAAACATAAACCTAACACCACAATAAAATACAGTTACATAATATACCAGTGCCACCTTCACTCTCAGGGCTAGCATTAATAATATTTTAAAAATTCATTCAATCCATTTTCTCTCCAAAATTTCATTGTTTCTTCCCTCAACCTATACCCCTTCCCTCTCCAAAATACATGATTTCTTAAAATCATTGTTTTTTATAGACCTCTTCTTATTTTCATATCAAATGTCAATTTATCATTAATTGCCATATCCCCTAATTACACCACTCCTCTAAATTAATTTGGTTATCATTTTTCCAATTTCTTCCAAATATTAACCTTGCTGCCGTAACTATTATTACAATCAAATCTTTATTTTCTTTCAACAATTGATCTTTCTTAACCATATTCAATAAAGCCATTGACGGCGATATTTGAATAATTTAATCCAGTTATTTCCCTTATACCTTTAAAAATTTGCTTCCGTTCTTTCTCACTTACATCACGTAACCACCACATATGTCAATACGTCCCCTTCTCTTTTTTACACCTCCAACATAGTGATAAACTTTTATTTATTGTATTCCTTTTTTACATCTCCAACATAGTGATGATAAACTTTTATTTATTGTATTGAGTTTGTATTGTATTGTCTGTAGCAGAGATTCTTGCTGGCATTTAGGCTCCATATGCGAGTGAGAACTCTGGAAAATCAGGGGTCTTGTTCGTGTGAGGTGCCCACATGCCAGCAGGAAATGTCTCGTCTGCAAACGTGCTGTAGAAAGCAATGCTGGGGAGAGTAGGGAGTGTCTCTGTGAAGGCAACGCTTGAATATTTCCTCTGTTTTCTCCTTGAAGTCAAACAGTTAGTACAGTGGTTTTCATGTTTTCCAAGTTTCTGCTAGTCAAGAATATCCTTGCCCACAGCAAGGGTTCTCTTGTATCCTGGCTTGAAAGGCTGAACTGCTGAAAGTAGCCAGGCCAATTTAGTACTTACCACAGAGGCTGGGCAGGCAACGACTACTGGGCACCAGAGCTGACATTTACAAGATTGGAGAGAAACTACCAGAGATTAATGGCAGAAAGAAGGTAAACAGCCATTTAGAAAAGGAACCAAAGTCGCCTGCCATTTGGGAGAATTGCTGTAGCCCTTTCTTTGATGCTTCTTTAACATAGAGTCAGGGCTAGGGAAGATGCAGCCCTCCAGATGTGGTTGGGTTGCAACCTCCATTATCCCTCACCATCAGCTAGGTTGGCTCGGGCTGATGGCCGTCCCACAACATGTGGAGGGCCACGCCCCCATGTTGCTGAGTGAATGGTAGACATAATGCAAATGGAGTGCCCTTCCACAACAAACTTTGTAACCCTGCAGCAGTTCAGCCTCCCACAGGGTTTCCCCTCTGCCAGAATGGGCAGGATTTACTTCAATCAACCTGGTTTGCTTGAGTGGAGCAGTTTGAGGTTTAGAGGGGGTCACATCGGGAACCAGAAAAGCCTTCTCCTGTGTCATCCTCAAGCTGGCAATTTCACAACTTGTTTTTAGGGCATTTCCAGAATCCAGCAAAAGACAAGACAATGCCAGAGGCACTCACTCCCCGCATCCTGGCCACTATGTAATGGTTTTTCAAAATAGCCCTTTTTCCATTGTATGTGCTCAAATCAGCTTATAGTATAAGGATGTTAAAAGAATCACTATATAATTTTATTTTTAAAAATAATACTAAGAATTTAAAAACAAACAAACAAGAAATGGCATAAAATAATAGCAAAAAAATGAAGACGAAATTACAGTGGCATTTGAGCGAAAACCAGAGAAGCAATGTGGTATTCACTTCATGCCTAAATGATACATGTGGCCAGAAAATCTCTCCAGGGAGGCGTTCAAAGGCAAAGGATGCCACAACAGAAAGGGCTCTGTCTCTGGTCACAACTGTGCTTAGCTGTTAAAGGCAACAGAAGAGGAGACCAGGGACTCCTATTTTACAGAGGCAGTGAATCCCCTTTAAGGGTCTAGTCCAAACTTCAGAGGAACTAGTTATTCAAGGTGCTGAACCTTATCTTCAAATGAGGTTCAGGGCTGTATAATAGCTCCTGCATAATTCAGACTAAAACCCAGTACAGATTCTCACACTATTCCTGCAAAATTAAGAGTTATAAACTTTGACTGGTGAGGAGCTGCTGGAAAGGGTCTTCAGATTATAATCAAAGTAAACGGACAGGTTCACAAAGGAGAGTCTTTCAGACACTTTGCTCTCTGGCTGTCATTTAGAGTTTTACAGGACAATAGGAGTGCACAGAAATAAACTGGAAGCTAAGGGGCAGAAGTAGGATCAGGTCTCATATATTTTGGGCTCGGCTTCTCTGTAGTTCTCCTGCTTGGCAGGGACCACAGCAGCCACGTCATCTTTACAAACAACTCCTGCCCTGAATGCTCAGGCGCTACAAGCAAACCAAAAGGCGCATGCATTTCCACAAGGTATCCCAAGGCATTAGCTGTGCATTAGCTGTGCATCTGCACAAGAAGCTTCCTCTTCTCAGTGACAGCTGTCCTGCTTGGCCGGTCTGTGAATGGCTGAGATGGCAGGAGCTCTGCTTACCTTGGAGTCCATTTCAATCAAGAGTTTGTCCAACATTTTCTGCCAATCTTGCTCTTGTCCAGCCATCTTGTTTAACAGCTCCTGCATCATCTTATGCAGCTGCTCTGTAGTCGCATCAAACTGGGAACGGCTGACCTTCCCAGCAAGGGCAGCCTTATCTGCTTTCTGGGGGGAAAAAGGGAAAGGATGGGGAACATTGTTGGTCTGGTCTGTACCCAGGTAATCATGCCTCCAATAATCACTATAGTGTGAGTGGCCAAAAACTTAACATCTCTTCTCTGCCCTTCCCCTAAACAATGGAAAGTATGCTCAGAATATTTAGACTGATAGCCACGGTGGATGAATGTTGAACTTGTGGCTATTTCATAGGAATAACTACCATGGGACTCATGTGTATGTGGACACTGAAAATTGTGTTTATTGTTAGCATAGTAACTAGTAGCAAACAGCAGCTAAATTAATTTGTGGATTATCAGAAAGGTTAGCAGGGAACATTTCACCCTTTAGAAAGAAATCACACCCAACTTCCAGAAAACAAGAAAGCTCGTGCTTATTAGAGAAATATACTGAGAGAAGAAAAATAGTAAGAATCCAAGTTTTATCTAGCGCAGGTGAAGTTGCAGGGAACATAAGATGGTTGGCCCTTCACCTCTCAAGAACAAAAACACTGTGTCTCCCTTATTCTATTCCAGGAAAAATCAAGAGGAAAAAAAATGTGTGAGGGAAGGAAGGGACATCAGTAATCCTAAGAGTATTAGTCTAGGTTGAGAAATAGGCCAGAGCAGATAAAGGGCAGTCCAGAAAACTCTGGGAAGTCTTTCTCTTTCTATCTTCTCCTCCCCTTGCAGACACAAGCGCCTTCCTCAGTATAAGCTGAGTTGTATTCATTCACTTCCAACATTCATTGCTTCAGGAAATCCATTCAGAAGTAATGCCAAAGGACCCCCACAACTTGGTTAACAGAATCCCTTTGAGATGGATGGAGCCATTATGGAGGAGACATCATGTGTGGCTACTTTTCTCTAACAAAAGGAAGAAACAAACTACTTCTCAAGATGGAGAAGAATTCACAGATCAACAAGGAGCTGCTTAGAAAAGAAAAGCAGAACTAAAGATGACGGAGCCCATCTTGTTATCTCTCACCTGCAATTGTCCTGCAATAGCTCATGTTACTTATTGCATGCAGTGGTCCCTTTTCATTTCCAACAAGCACAAGTATCTTTTTTTCAGAAAGAGAGGAAGTAACCACACTACAGAATCCAGGTCTCTTATCTACTCCCTGCGTTATTTGCACCCTTTGAAAATACGGCCAATGTTACAATAGTTAACCATGGTTTGGCTTGCATGAGACAACGATGGTGTGTTATGAAGCACAATCCCTTACCACGTCAATTTCCATCACTAGACGATCTTTGTCAGCTTTTTCTTTTTCTAATTTCTCCAGTGACTTGAACAACATCTTTAAAGAAGAGAAAAAGCAAAAGGGATCACAGCTGGGTACTCAAAATATTGGCTTAGATTTGTGTTATCAAGACCATTATCTTTCGTCTTTCAAATGTGTCTGAGTGCTGGCATAAGCACATGTCCCTCATGTCTCCCTGAGCACAGAAACTGCAAAGCACACACTCCACATACATATTCCAAACTGGGTCATCATGTGCTTTTAATTCCATCTTATTAGCACCAACAGATCACAGGCTGGTATACATAGTGAGCTGCCAGTTTATGACAGAATGACACTTTGCCTAGGCTAAGCCACCTGCTACATTATTGCCTGGAGTAAGTAAGGGAGAAAGTGGCATTATAGAGAAAGAAATAAAACACTTTTGATCCTAAGTCCCTCCTTGCAATGTAACATGGGGAAAACAGTATGTAAGTTTTAATCTTGTATTCTGTAAATTCTAATCACTGCCCAGTGTAATGCTGACCCCAATGGAAGTGTGTATCAATCAAATTAATAAATGAATAAGGACGAGGTCAATCAACCTATTTCACACTTTCCAAACTGATATGCTCAGCAGAAAAAAACAGCTATTCTTTGGAGTGTGCAGTTCCTCAACTTTATGAAGCAGTTATTGAGTGCACATAAAAGGTGCATGTAAAATATATTATACTAGGGAAAGTCATACACAAAAATGTATATAGAAGGGAAACTTGCATACAGAAATGTACCCTTGTGTAGTTCCATTTTAAATTTCAGAAACTGGGTGCAGCTGATATTAAATAAAAAATAAAGGACCACTTTCAGCCCAATTGGGATGCTATTTCAGACAACTTCGTGGTGTAGGGGTAACCTTCCAATGAGTGGTGAAAGTAAAAGCAGAAGGATGGGACCAAAAATATTGGCATATTTTTAGCTTGACATTCTCACTGCCACAAACTCATTCTAAGGAGACCCACATTATTACTTTAGAACTGATCTGGGGAAAAACCTTTTAATTCCTGGGAAGCCACCCAGGTATCATAGATACCAGTCATTGTATCATGGAAAAGGTGGTATGCCCCCCTGGAGCCCCAGAGTGCTAGACTAGGAGGGTCCCAGTCTGGATTAAATGTGAAACTGGCACAAATGAGAAATAGACTGCTTTGCCTATTCCCTGGTCTAACACCCTTTACAACTGCATAGGACGGGGAAAAATTACAGATACAGCTTGTGAAATTTACTTCTCCATACAAATATATTAGACAAAAACCCTGTTTCCTTTTGCATCTTAAAGCACGTGGTAAATGCATGTGAGGCACTACTGTTTTCAAGTGTAAGAACTTGGGCTTTATCTCTATTGGCTCAACCTGGATATTTAATGCTGTAAAAAAATAAAGGAGTACTCCACTGTTGGGACATTCAATAGTGATTTAGTAGCCCCCACCAATCCTGACCAATTTTTGCCAAGTTTAAGTAAACATCTTGCCTGTGATGTCTGAAAAAATAAACTCACTTTCCAAAATGAGAAAGAAAGAAGATGTTTCACATCTGGATATTACATTGAGTTTTATATCTCTGATGTCTTGTTGACAGTTATTCGGTGGCTTATCATAAAGTGTGTTTGCCCATCAGGGATCTTGACTGGAAGAGTGCAAACACTTCTTACCTTGCATCACTATCTGGAGGACAGAGTGGAGCCAATGAATACAGAACTTTACCATCTCCGCTGCAAGAGGTAGTTTGATCATGTCACTTGATTGATTAAATGAACACCAGCAAATCAGCCAGTTCTCCAGCATTGCTGGTGTTGGTACTGATGCATAAGAGGGATAGTCATATGCATCACAAACTTTCTCTTTTGGCAGGAAGGGAAAAGAAGGAGAATCAACAGCCTCCCTATATGTGTTGGTACTGATGCATAAGAGGGATAGTCATATGCATCACAAACTTTCTCTTTTGGCAGGAAGGGAAAAGGAGGAGAATCAACAGCCTCCCTATATAGCTAGCAACCACCATTTTGTCAAGCGAAACATCCGAGTAACAAAGGTTAAGAACCACTGGGTTAAGCTAGCAACCACTGTTTTGTCAAGCTATGGAACTGCAGAGCCCATTTTTCTTTGAACCTACTACCTGTTAACTTCAAGACCACCTACATTGATCTCCTTTTGCTTCTGATGATGGTCTTCTATGAGGTTACCCGTGGTGGAATTCAGCTTCTCGCAGTCTTCCTGCACTTGCAAGATGGTGTTTTGGATCTGACTGAGCATCTCTTCATCCTAATTGTGAAAGAGATAAATTAACAAAGGCCAGTGTGGAAACAGGGATGGCCCTATGAACTCTCAAATCCTGTTGCTGATGACTAAAACGTCTTACATGGGAGAAAACAGTGGAAGTCATGAGCAGAAAAGGTGAAGAGGGGACAGAGAGAACTAACTAGCAACCTCCAAATGGGCTGGACTGCAATTAGAAAAGGTGAAGAGGGGACAGAGAGAACTGACTAGCAACCTCCAAATGGGCTGGACTACAATTCTCCTCATCAGCCTAGGCTTCAGGTTGGATAGTCCAATATATCTGGAGGATACCAGGTTGTGGAAGACTGGCCCTAAAGCTGTGCATCTGAAAAAGTGGACTACAGTACATGAAAACGTAGGCTAAATACTGCTTTTTAAGTCTCTAAAGTGCTGCAAAAGTCTTTGTTGTTTTGGCCTAAATAAACTATGAAATGGGAGCTACGCTGCTCATAGCAAGATTCCTTAAATTTTATCCTAACCATATGGGATGTTCAAGTAACCAACTCGCATAATTAAACACTGCAATGTTCAACGAACCAAAATCACATAATTAAACACATGCTGCCAAGGTGATCCCCACTTACAACAGCCCTTTCTGAGTATTTCTGGGCACTGTGTACTCAGACATGGTTTACTGGTTTCTTCAGCAGCGGAACTGTGCATCTCCAGTTGAAGCTTGCCGAAGACCACACAGGCTGGCTCTTCTCCTGATCTATCTAATCTGTCTGTCTATCCATCCTTTCTAGTAGAAATATTCATGTTAAAAAATAACCTAGACCTTCAGTTCCTTTCGACAAAGGTTTAACTTTATTCCCTACTGAAATGGGACATGCAAAAAAGGTTCAAAGACCCCATTAAATGTCTATTCCTATCATTCTGTTTCTGTAATTTTGATTGTTTAGAAACAATTTTCTGGCTTATAAATAACCTCTAAATGTGTCGATTTTCTTTCATTTTGATGGAACCTGATTTTTAGCCATGTCCAGTCAGAATCTTAGCCTTCCTGAGCATACATCATCCATAACATTTTATGCTTAGTGTCTAGGAGTAAACTTACAGTATGTGGGTTTTGTTTTGCCTTCCCTCTAAATGAGACTGCATGGATATTTCCCACCTTTCAATTGTTGTTAATGCTGCCATGTTTCTGTTCTGCCCTATCTATCATTCCAGTGCTATTTCAGCACACAAAAAGCTAGCAAAAATATATGAAAAAGAGAATCACAAGCAAAGCCACAGCAAAGTGGCTGTGGCTGAAAGTGGCCCACAACATATAGGAACAGGTATATATTATTAGTTATTATATAGAAGCAAACAATGGTACAGAATATCCTTCCCCACTTGACGCCATGCAGATACTTTGGATTAAGATTTCCACTATCTCTAGCTACTAGTTAGGGCCGGTGGAAGTTGTAGTCCAACACATCTCCAGGGTAGGAGGGACTGAAGGCTGGTATGAAAAGTCACATGAAGCTTTCCAACCACATGAAAAGGCTTCCAGTGAAAAAAAGATTGCTCAGAAGGGGGGAAGGAGAGATTCTCAAACACGTAGGCACATGAACACTCTGTCTAGTTCCTAGGCCCCTTACTAACCAAGGTTGCTCACAATTACTAGCTAGGCTGGAGGACTACACATGCACTCTGTTCATTAATACGAGGGAAATCGAGAAGGGAAATATGAGACGAGCACAAGACTGCCATATAAGTGGTATGATATAGGGCCAAACTGAAGATATATGATGAAAAGCCTAGAAGTCACATCAGCTTTTAACTCTTGGAAAACTAACTATTTTCAATATGGTGGCCACAACTCACACTAGCAAACTCATTCCCCCATAATAAAAATCTTTGTTCGATTCTGACCTCTGGAAATAGGTCCATCAGTTCCTGCACTCTTTTAAAACAAAAACCAGAAATCTGTCAGAGCAGCCTTCTACAACCTGATGCCTTTCACATCTGCTGGACTACAACATCATTCATCCCCAAACCATAATAATGGTTTGCTGGAGGATTATGGGGCTGGCAGTTCAAATTTTTTGGAAACAGCCAGTTTCTGTAAGGCTCGATAAAGAAAAATACAGTAACTGACAACCTAGCTAAGGGAATCAAATACTGTGTCTTGCTATCCAGATCACTAGAAGAACTGCAAATGAATATTTAAAACTATTAATTGATTTCTTTCTGTTTGAACTGGTATAGCAGGCTACGTTCATTCGTTTAGTCGTTTAGTCGTGTCCGACTCTTCGTGACCCCATGGACCAGAGCACGCCAGGCCCTCCTATCTTCTACTGCCTTGGTGTGTCAAATTCATGTTGGTTGCTTCGCAGACACTGTCCAGCCATCTCATCCTCAGTCGTCCCCTTCTCCTCTTACGGTCGCACTTTCCTAACATCAAGGTCTTTTCCAAGGAGTCTTCTCTTCTCATGAGATGGCCAAAGTACTGGAGCCTCAGCTTCAGGATCTGTCCTTCCAGTGAGCACTCAGGGTTGAATAGCAGGCTACACTGCTCTTAATTTTGTATCAATTCATTTTCTCTACTGTTTCTTGGGGCAATCAGGCCCCCCTTGTCCTTTTTAAAAAAATAACAAAAGTGATACATTGAGGGTGTAACAGAGAGTTCCAAGCCTTCTCTCCTCCTCTCCTTTACCCGACCCCTATGCAAAGGAAATGAATTAACAGCACGATACTTTGCAAGCCTTTTGCACAGCGTTGGGAAGAGGAAACAGATTTTGCAAAATGTGCAAAGTATTGTGAAGGGCAGGGTTTAAAAAAGAGAGAGGAGATGCAACTCTCCTGTTTTACAATGAAAAGTGGGAAATGTCTGTGCTCAAGCCCTCTTCCACCAACAAGGGGGGGGGGTTAGGCTATATACTTTGAGCTGTCTCTTTCTGAGCAGTGTATTCATGTTCAGTTTGCTAGCTGTGGGTTGTTTTTTTTAAAAGGGTACAAGTACAATGGATATAAAGTGGCCACAGCACCCAGAAACCCAACCCCTTTGCAAAGGAAGTACAGTGGTGCCTCGCTTAACTATTGCCTCACATTACGCCGAAATCGCTGTACGCTGATCTTTTTGCGATCACAATTGTGATCACAAAACAATGGTCTAAATGGGGGAATTTCACTTAGCGATTATCAGTTCCCTGCTTCGGGAACCAATTTTCGCTTTTCGACAATCAAAAACAGCTGATCGACGGGTTTTCAAAATGACCACCTGGTGCTTAAAATGGCTCTCCGCTGTGTTTAAGTATAGATTCCTCGCTATACAGGCAGCGAAAATGGCAGCCGTATGGAGGATCTTCGCTGGACAGTGAGTTTTTACCCGATTGGAGCGCATTGAACGGGTTTCAATGAGTTTCAATGGGGTTTTTAATTTCGTTTTATGTTTTCGCTTAACAGTGATTATCCTGGAACGGATTATCGTCATTAAGCGAGGCACCACTGTAAATCGACAGCAACATTCACACAGGTTGAAGTGATAAGGAATGAAGTGATTCGTCATTGGTGCATGTGACAGGATGAGCATGCCAGGAAGCCAGCGTGCTCATGGTGAGCCGTCAGCCCCCTTTAAGATGGCTGATAGGGCTCAGCCAGGGTAAAAGGCTAAGGCACAGGGAAAGAGGGAGAGAAGACAGCTGGGGAAAGTACAGCAGCCTAATGGGAAACACTTCCCGAGGCAACCAGGAGCCAAATAAAAATGAGTAAAGAGATTGTCTTTGGGAGGCTGCTGGTCAACAAAAGGAGGAGGAGGAGAAGGGACTGGGGTTGATGCCACCCGAGGGAACCAGGAGGGCTGTGTGACATTTTTCCAGACAAAGGACCACTACTGACTGACATTGGAGCCTTCCCACAGTCATCAACCTGGACAGGAAAGGATCAGAGGGAAGGGAAGGGCTGGGCAGCCAACATCGACATCAAGGACAATGCAAACCCTCTTTGAGCCAGGCAAAGTCCCATGCGGGTGGACCTGAACTGTGGGGGCTTTCAGTGAAGGTAACTGAGGGTCCTACTGAGGAAGAGGGTGTCCAAAGACTGGTTTATGCCCTTAAACCTGCATCTTTCATGGCTGCAGGGATTCTGCGAAGCTGTAGTGCAAATGCCAATAAAGCACCGATAGGTTTAAACCCTGAAGTTGAGCCCATGGAATTTGTGCCGGGGAGGGTGGACCTGAACTGTGGGGGCTTTCAGTGAAGGTAACTGAGGGTCCTACTGAGGAAGAGGGTGTCCAAAGACTGGTTTATGCCCTTAAACCTGCATCTTTCATGGCTGCAGGGATTCTGCGAAGCTGTAGTGCAAATGCCAATAAAGCACCGATAGGTTTAAACCCTGAAGTTGAGCCCATGGAACTTGTGCCGGGGGACCCAAGCTGTCACCAGCTCTGCACAGCCGGAGGCTCAAGGTGCCCACAGGAGAAAATAAAACCCGAGTCTCCAGCCCCCATTTTGAAACTTGTTTTAAGTTAAGAAGCCTGGCCCACACATCTGGCCATAAGTTTTGGAACTTTTATGTTTCTTTTGATCCACACCAAAGTCTGGGGCAACTTGCTTGATGAAGACCCATGCAGGGTCAAAAACTAACTTATGTCTGTGATTTTTTTAAAAAAAAAAGTGGTCAAATAAAAGTACTATAAAAGTACAACCCATCAGGTTGTATACAAAAACCATATAGCATTAACAAAAAATGACGGCCAATTCCTGGCATATCCAAGTAGGGCTGCTAAAAACGTAGGTCTGAAACTCAGTCACCGGAGGCAATATCAAGCTGTGTCTCAACCCCAAAGGAGTCATTTTCAATGCAAGCCTCCCTTGAAGTCCTTCCCACTCTCCATGGCCTATGGGTTCAGGATACTCTGGGGGTTATTTCTGCATCCTCGCTTATACCTTGGAGAAGTGAGATGAAGTCAGCTACCCAAAGGACCTGCTGGTGGTGGCTCAAGCCTTACCTGGCGGTGCTTGGGTTTCCTGGATGCTTTGCCTTCCACCTGCCTCAGCATGAAGTTGTTGATGGAGTCCTGGAGCTGCTCGTAGCGCTTGAACAGCTGGCTAACCTTCTCACTGACATCTAAGCTGCAAGCCGCGCATGTGCCCTGCTGGACCTGGGCCAGCCCAGGCTCTGGGGTCGGTGGCATGCTCATGGACAGCAAGGTAGATGAGGAGGCCATCATGTTCTCTATGACAGACCTCAGCTTATCTAACTGTGGGTAGCAAGCAAGGGAAAGAGGACATTTAGTTTTAGAGGGGGTAAATCAGACAAGCAAAAGGTCTCGTGTCTCTCACAAAAGCTAGGAGGAGAGCAGCCATTAAGATTAGGCTGCTCAAACACCTGAGGTGATATAATGGCTGTCCCTTTGACGCAACTGGAAGGAGAATCTAAAAGTCATACAGCCAAAGTAACTCTGAACAGCAGAACCTCGCAATTCTGCCCCTATGCTGGAAAATCACTTCAGATAGAATATTTGTAGAAATTTCTATCATGAAAAGTTTAGAAACTTGTTGTGCCCACTTAACTTTCAGGGCTGAAATAGTAGGTATGACATACTCTTATCCACATGCACGCACGCACGCGCACCCTTTTGGGTGGAAGCTCCTTCCTTTCCCAGTATAGTACGTGTATCCTAGATGCAGCATCTGCTTGTCCCTCAGCTTCCAAGCATGTTTCCAAGGGCAGCTTCACACCCGTGTATGTAAGTTGCAAAGCCCATGAGGAAGAATCACCAAACATTGGAACCCTAATCTGCAGCCTTTCAGAAAGTGTTCTAGCACGTGTCTCCCTTGGTGTAGGCAAAGAGAGGAGAAGGGGCTTTGCTCACTGCTGTGTTCACTTGTAATAATTGAACCACCAAATTAAATGAGATCAAAAATGACCCTGGGCAGTTAGGCCCCCAACCGACCACACACCACTATCTCCACAGAGAGTTCCTATTAACACACGTTAATGTAACCACTTAGTAACTAAGGCATCATCAAGAAAGGTATAGTTTGTTTTTGTCCAGTTACTATAAAGTAAATGTCAACTTTAAAAGACTTGGGCAACTTTTCTTTAAGAGTTACCAGGGTGAGTCGTCCTATGCTGGATGGCCTTATAGGTCCTTTACAACTCCGTAATTCGATGACTATATGTCTGGTTTTAACCTTAGGAAATTTAGGTAAAGGTAAAGGTTCCTCTTGACATTTAGTCCAGTCGTGTCCAACTCTAGAGGGTGGTGCTCATCCCTGTTTCCAAGCCACAGACCCAGCGTTTATCCGTAGACAGTTTCCGTGGTCATGTGGCCAGCGTGACAAGACAAAGAATGCCGTTACCTTCCCACCGAGGCAGTCCCTATTTATCCACTTGCATTTTTACATGCTTTCGAACTGCTAGGTTGGCAGGAGCTGGGAGAAGCGACAGGGGCTCACTCCGTCACGTGGATTCTATGTTACGACAGCTGGTCTTCTGAACCTGAAGCACAGAGACTTCTGCGGTTTAACTCAAAGCACCACCACGTCCCTCTTAGGAAGTTTATCTTCCTACAATAAAGGCCTCTCTGCCACTCCCTCACAGTGGACAGTCGTTCTGAAGAGCACTGGAAAATAAGTGGCCAGAACGGCTTCAAGGACCAAGGGAAACACAAGACCAATTTCTATCCTCATTTCACAGGCTGACCTGTTCCTGGAGGTAAAGGGCAGTGTCGGTCACTGACTGCTCCAGCGTGGCTTTCCCTGTGTCCTGTTTCTGTCTCAGTTCCTTTAGCTCTTTCTCTATGTCCTGCACTGTTGCTCTGTGCCACAAAGCCAACAAGAGAGAGGGGTCAGTCACCAAAGGGGGGGGGACTAACTTTGGAGCATCTTTTTTCTTATGACAGAAAAATATGTGTACCCCAAAACAGGAAGAGAATTCAAATAAAGTTCAGGAGAAAACTGGAGTAACTTTGAAACCAGCCCACAAAGGATCAAATTTACCTCTTCTTCATGTGCATTTCTAGGGTTTCTCCATGTCAGTGGAAGATTTCCTTTGATTTATGCCAGTAGTGGGCAAAGAATGGTGTGTGTGTGTGTGTGTATACACACATACACAACAACAACACCCCTCTATATATAGTATATACACAATATCAGCATTACAACACACATACACAACAACAGCACCCCTCTATATATAGTATATACACAACATCAGCATTACCGAAGCCAGATCAAGATGGGCCCTGTAGATTTTAGCTTCAGGTTTGTATGTTCTTGAAAAGACTAATTTAGGTTTGGTCCATTTTGAACCACCCTTTCAATAATGGTGATGAGAGATTTAACAACACCTATACCTACTAAACAGTATATATTCCTGAAATTCTACATGGATAATTTCATAGAAAACCAAAACTAGTTTCAAAAATACAAATACAATGGTGCCTCGCTAGACAGTTACCCCGCATGACAGTTTTTTCGCTAGACGTTGACTTTTTGCGATCACTATAGCGATTCGCAAAACGATGATTCCTATGGGGGAATTTCGCTGGACAATGTTTGGTCCCTGCTTCGCAAACCAATTTTTGCTAGACAACGATTTTGACAGCTCCCTCCGGACTCGCAAAACAGGTGTTTTTGGGACCTAAGCTTCGCAAGACAGCGATTTAAACAGCTGATCGGTGGTTCGCAAAGCAGCTTTCCTATGGCCGATCTTCGCTAGACAATGAAGATTCTTTCCCTTTAGAACGCATTAAACAGGTTTCAATGCATTCCAATGGGGAAATGCTTTTCGCTATACAATGATTTCGCTAAATAGCGATTTCAGTGGAACAGATTATCATCGTCTAGCGAGGCACCACTGTAACTGAGAAAATACTATGTCAGCATGTTTCCCTTGAAGAGCTTACAAAATTTCAAACCAGTCCAAATTATCTCTTTTTCTCTCTTAAAACAAATGCAAAGTAATTTTGTGGAAGCTCATTAGAACAGCATTCTTGAAAAAAAACCTCTTTTGCAACTAACCACTGATAAATAGATTGAAGAGGACCCTGGGACGTGACTTTTTAAAAGTAACTGGTTATAGTTCTAAGCTCTCTAGCCTTAAAATCAGTAACTTATTGTTGCAATTCTGAAAAAAATAACTCAGTTTTCTCAGTCTGAGTACCAAAAGCCACTGGCCTATGGCACAAACAAGCCCACCTTCCCTCCACTGGACCACTGCCATAATATTCATACCACTCCTCTAGTATTGAGTTTTCTTTTACCTGAGGTAACCTAACTGCATGTTGATGTGACCAGCTCCCTCCATTTTCTCCTCAGGTCCTGCCAGTTCTCCTTCAAGTACATCCTGAATCTTCCTCAACTAGAACCATAAGTAGACAGGGGAAGGGGGGGAAAAACAACCTCAAGTTTTATGTATGCCTTAAAGAAATCTGGCCGCAGGATTCTAACTTCCCTATATAGACCATGAAATCAAGGGAGGAAAGGGGCCCATCTCTCCTTGCTACTAATAATGGCTAACTCTAAGTATGTCCTAAGTACATAATTTTATACCAGATACATCTTCCGCCAAGCAGAAATGGTTCAATGACATGGAAGAAACAGAAGGAAATAGTAATGTGTGGAATCAAATCAACCCAGTAACTACAGTATGATCCAGCATCCTGCTGATGCCCTTTGAAACTTTTCCTCCACAGATCGTAAAAGACAGGTAACCATTTTAGGAAGAAGGAATGTACATATTATTGTGAATTTGCTGTTAGATGATTGTGAGTGGATCTTTCACTGTGGTTTTGGTTAAAATGGCTCCAGACAGAAGCTGGTGATTTGATAAAAGGGAGCTTAATGTTTCCCCAATGCAGCTGTCTGCAACCAAACATCTTTCAAATGTGCTGGCTTACCAGTACCATTATCCTCAGCCAACATTAGGTAAAGCTGTTTTGGTGTCTGGGGACATTTCTGTGAGTAGGCAATTCATTCAGAGTTAGGGGAAGCTTGTGATCCAAGCACATGTAGGTTCAAGATTGAGGTCTAAACCTGAGAAATGACAGGCTATGGAGAAGCAGGGTCAGAAAAGGATATGGATTAGCTAGAAATTATTCTATTTCTCTGAGGCAATGCAGTGGCTGAATTTGAAAAAAAACCACCTCACAACCTCTGTTTAGACTCTGCTGCCATCTGTAGAAATAATTGCTACAAAGATCCTTTTAGTCTCAAGCTAATTGGCCATCTACAAGACAATATATTTTGCAGAACTGTCCCTCAGTTTCTTCAGAACTTGAACAAGAGAGGCTGTAATCATAAATACATACACATATTCCCAAATACAGTGGTGCCTCGCATAGCGATCGCTCCATTGAGTGACGAAATTGCTTAGCGACGGAGTTTTTGCAATTGCAAAAGCGATCGCTTTGCGATGGTCCCTATGGGTTTTTTCGCTTTGCGATGATCGCGGGGAAGCGATCATGGCAAAGCGACCCTTTTTTAACAGCTGATCGGCTATTTCAAAATGGCAGCCAGGAAAACAAAATGGCCGCCCGCTGTTTTTCCTCACTTAAGAGTATACAAATACTAAAACAGATCAAACGAATACTATACAAAAAACATAAGCAACACCAAAACACCTTCAAAGCAGTAAGGTACAACAACCGATTCATTTTAAAAATCCCACTAAGGTAGCCAGTCACTCAGGGAAACTTGCCTATAAACAAAGGTCTTTGTCTGCTTTTTGGACTACAGTCTCAGAACTCCTATGCTAGGCTAGAGGCTTTGAGTGTTGAAGTATAAAGAAATAACATTTCTAAGCCCTTGCCACATCATAGTCAGGTAAAATGTGCCAGATGGTATGATTCTGAAGTCACTGGGCTGGAAACCGTAGCTTGATTCCTGGAACAAAGGTTATATATGGCTGTTGTAGGTTTTTCAAGTTGTTTGGCCATGTTCCGAAGGTTTTTCTTCCTAACGTTTTGCCAGTCACAGAGACAGACGGAATGTTAGGAAGAAAAACTTTTGGAACACAGTCAAATAGCCCAACAACCATTGGATCCCGGCCGTGAAAGCCTTTGAGAAGACAATGGTTGTATAGTTTCTGATCTCTAACTGAAATCCCACCATACGTATCATCCTGAATCTGCTGGACTCATCTGATTTTGGAAACTGAGCAGGATCAAGATTAGGTAGCACGTGGATGGGAGGCTGCCATGGTATACTTGGTGCTGTATTGTGGGAGATGGGACAGCTCAGCAGTAGAGCATGGACTCCAAATCAACCACCAGCATTTTCAGAAAGGGACTGGAAAGTACCTAGTTTGACATTCTAGGATGACCCTGGCAGACTGAGTGGATAGTCATGGGCTAGATGCACCAACTAAGCATAAGGCAGTTTCCTGTGTTTCTATGTCATGACGATGAACAGCCAGGCATACAACTAAAGAAGAACCCAAAGATACCATTTAGTTTCATAGATCCGATTCAGATGCTACTTTGATGGCAGTATTTGCAGATGTCCGGTATAAGTAACACACATGCCCTTCACTCGCAGTAAGATCTGTGAGCTCCAGATACTACAGGAGCAGATATAACATTCTGTAATTTACAAATGATTAACTGAGCATAATTAGAAACAAGGGCTTAAATCTAGTCCTTAGTCTGAACTGCAGTGGACCCAATGAACCAGTTCTTGAATGGTACATCAACACTTAATACTTGAATGAGTTTTGTCGAACTGGACATAGGCTACAAAATAATTTCTGCAAATTGCACAATGAAAGTAGCATGTGAAAGAGTTGTTCCAGTCCTGAAAGCCCTTAGCTTTAATTTATTTTAAGCAAAGCTTTCGAGTTAATGTCTGTGGAGAAAGCTGCAACATTCTCAGGCCATCAGCTAGATAGAGCCTGGCATGAAGGCTCAGGAGTCCTGAAGCTCAGAAGATGGTGACAGGAATCAGGTTCTCATCTTAGTGGCTGGTCCTTCTCTACAGAACCAGCAGTCCAAAAAAAAAAAAAAAAAAAGGGAGTTGAGGGATGCTCTTGACTATTATGAGGATCGCAAAACTTTGTTTCATCTTTTGTTTCATTTCATTTCACGGAGGTGCCTTGAATGCTGACTGGTAACACTGTTATGCTCTCCTCTTACAGGATGATTTGCAGCTTCAACCAAATGCTTTTATTTGAATGTTTCCAAGAGTTGCAACAAATTGAACAAACAGCCTTTGCCTTCTTGTAACAGGCTGGGGAATTGTTTCGGATGGAATGGCAGTGATAAAATGATAGAGATATGCAGTAAAAGGAAATAAAAGAATCACTGAAAAATTCTACAACAAAAACATGCAAGAATGTTAAGAACACTTTCCAAGAACATGGGCGCTTCCGAAAGCTGAGCAAATTCCCTTTGTGAAATGTTGCTTGTAGCCACTCTTCCAACAAGCTAATCAACATGTTACTCTCTGATCCCTCCCCCACCACAGCCTTACCTTCTCCTTCTCTGTTTTCAGGTCTTCTTCCATTGACTGGATTGCTGCAAGCCTTTGTGGAAGGTCAGGTGGGATGACAGCAATGTTCCTATAAACTATCCAGGAATAAGAAACTTATAAATTATATTATACTGATCATGTGAAAGTAGGATTTGTAACAGAATGTTGCTGTGGGCACTGCTCCTAATCCGGGCCCTTTTTCAGGAAACTGCTCCATTCCCAATCCCTTCCAGGTATTGCCCCCCCCCTTCAACACTTACTATTTAGTGCCCATTTGGCACACGTTGGATAAGACTAAATAGCCAAATTATCTCATCTTCAGTCAGGCTAGATCCTGCTAACCAGCATCACCTTGAGGTGTGGTATGTCATTTATGGAAATCCTTGTATCCATATGCAAGGAGTAACAACACCATACTCCAAGTGACCATATTTGGCCCTTATTTCTCTTAAAGGAAAAATTCTCCCCTTTCTCCCCCCCATCTCCTTCACTGTGCTTTGCTTTAGTCACTTCATGAGCACAGGAAATTGAAAGCTTCTTCCCATTCCCTCATGAAGGAGTGAGGAAGCTTTCAATATTTTTTCTAAGTGACATATGGCATCAATGTTGCTTGAGGGATTTAGGGGGGGGAAATTTGCTTCTCTATCTCCCCAATTCAATGGCAGGTGGGAAGGGAGGGAGATTTAAATTTTCTAAGATTGTGAAGTGGCTTCAGTAAAGGGGCTGCTTAAGACAACCACTCTGATTTAATCTCAGCAGTCACACACATTGAAACTTAACGAAAATGGAACATTCCTACATACTGCCGCCCCCCACACACACACACACACTAGGAGCCCCTGACAGGGACTCGAAAAGGTGCAGGTAGACTAAGATCAGGGGAAAGAGAGTGAACCAGCCTGTGGACCAACCTGCAGGACAAATCCACATTTGTCCTGCTGGCTGTGGGAGCTGCCGCCCCCGCCCCACCTTTGGATTTTCTAAAAGGACCCCTTTTTTTTCTTTTTACATTTCTGGAAATCTGGAAGTTCTTCAAAGCCTTCTGATACCTGCTTCTTGAATGCAGACAGCGCTATTTTGGCTGCATAAAGACTTAATACACATTCTTCAAGTGTGATGAATGACAGGGAAGGACAGAATCACCGTTTAGATGGCTGAACTCCAAGTCTAAAGGATCAACATCCCAAATGTTTTTTAAAAAAAGTTTGATTAAACTAACTTTTCTTAGTCCCCACCACCACCCTCTGCCAAACTGGCAGCCACCAGCATTGTTAACATTTGCTCAAATAGGTTCCAGATTCTGCTAAGTGTTAAAAACCTGGAAGTCTACATAGCAACATATATTTTCTAGATTACAACTCCCAGAAACACCTAATGGCCACTGTGCTGAGTAGAGGATTCTAGGAGCTGTTATACAAAATTTCTACTTTTCCAAATGCATTGTAAATTTGCAACCCATACTAGCTTCGGTGAGGAAGTCCTGCAGCCTCCGGAGATCAGCATGGCCACACTTGTATTGATCCAGCATATTGATCTGGTCTCTCAGTGCATAGTAGAGTTCGGTCAGCTGTGCAAGCGAGCGCAAGGCATCCACCGTCTCTGCGTAGCGGGCAGGGGCCAAAGTGGAGACAACGGAGGGAGACTCAGAAGGCTGTAGGGGGGTTGTAGAAGGCAAGACTGGAGATGCCGGGGGTGTCGCTCCCAGGATGGGGCCAGGTGGCACAGCCAGCTGGCCTCCTGCTGTAGGCAATGAGAGTGATGTTCCAGTTTCACCAGGCTGATACGGAGGAGGGTAGGGCCAGGAGATGGCAGGATAGCCAAAGTATCCAGCTTGGGCACCAGCAGGTCCAAGATAGGCTCCAGGATAGAATGCAGAGGGCCCAGATAATCCAGCTTCTGCTCCTGGAGCTCCAGCTTCCACCCCAGGATATAGTGGTTGAGCTCCAGGATAGGCAGCCTCAGGTCCAGGTGCTCCAGGCTGAGCCCCAGGAGCTCCAGGATAAGCAGCATCAGCTCCAGGAACACCAGGCTGGGTTCCTGGCGCTCCAGGCTGGGTCCCAGGATAGGCTATATGGGCCTCAGGAGTGCCAGGCCGGGCCCCAGGAGCTCCAGGATAGGCAGCCTGAGCCAAAGGATAAGCCCCAGGTGCCCCAGGGTAAGGCGCTGGTGCTCCTGGAGCCCCAGGGTAAGCCATGGGTGCTCCAGGATAGGCTCCGGGTATCCCAGGATAGGCTGTTTGGCTTCCAGGACCACCAGGGTAGGGCCCACCTGCCCCAGGATAGGGTGGTTGGGCTCCAGGAGCTCCAGGATAAACCGCCTGGGCCCCAGGCACTCCAGGCTGGGCCCCAGGTGCTCCAGGATAGGCCCCAGGAACCCCAGGATAAACTGCCTGGGCCCCGGGCACTCCAGGCTGGGTCCCAGGTGGTCCAGGCTGGGCCCCGGGTGCTCCAGGATAGGCCCCAGGAACCCCAGGATAAACTGCCTGGGCCCCGGGCACTCCAGGCTGGGTCCCAGGTAGTCCAGGCTGGGCCCCGGGTGCTCCAGGTTGGGCCCCGGGTGCGCCAGGCTGGGCCCCAGGTGCTCCAGGCTGGGCCCCGGGCACTAAAGGATAGGTTCCAGGTGCTCCAGGATAGGCCCCAGGAACCCCAGGATAAACTGGCTGAGCCCCGGGCGCTCCAGGCTGAGCCCCGGGTGCTCCAGGCTGAGCCCCGGGTGCTCCAGGCTGAGCCCCGGGTGCTCCAGGCTGAGCCCCGGGTGCTCCAGGCTGAGCCCCGGGTGCTCCAGGCTGAGCCCCGGGTGCTCCAGGCTGAGCCCCGGGTGCTCCAGGCTGAGCCCCGGGGGCTCCAGGCTGGGCCCCGGGTGCTCCAGGCTGCGCCCCTGGCACTAAAGGATAGGTTCCAGGAGCCCCAGGATAAACTGGCTGGGCCCCAGGAACCCCAGGATAGGCCCCAGGAACTGCCTGGACCCCAGGTGCTCCAGGCTGAGCCCCTGGATAAGCTGCTTGGGTTCCAGGATAGGCTCCTGGCTGGGCCCCGGGGTGACCGCCTGGGTACATTTGGGCTCCTGGGGCTCCTGGCTGGGCTCCAGGGAGGCCTGCTCCTCGTGAAGCCCCTGGGGCACCGGCCTGTACCCCTGGCAAACCAGCCTGTGTGCCTGGTGCTCCTTCCCTTCTCTGAGTGCCAAGCTGGGTTCCTGGAGATCCAGGAGTTCTGCCTTCTGGAGAAGAGGTGGAACCAGTTGGAGAACGCAGGACTGGGCTTGTCTCCTAAAAATAAACAAAAAAGAAGCAGGTGTAATAAAGGCAGATAAAAGAGCAATATGCCTTTGGAAGGAAGGAAAAAGGGTACCCGAGAAGAGAGGAAGTCGTTGGTGGAATATTAAAAAGTTATAAAGTTGTCTCCTATTAGTCACACCTCCAGGTGGGGAACTTGCTACAACCCTCATCTATTAGTCGTTCCAGAAGAACAGTGAACAGATGCCTGAAAGCTGTCCATTGTTCTGGCGCTGTTACCACCTGCCAGGCTCCAAGTAGCCAGCTCAGTCATCCCTCCACTCTAACTTTGGTGCTGTTGAATGGCAGTTCTGTATCCAATAAAGCCCAGTTAATGCAAGTTCTTATTCTGGAAAAGGATGCAGATCTGGCTTGCATAACCAAGACGTGGATGGGTAGTGAAGGGGGTGTGCCCCTGTCTCCTGCCTGTCCCCCCGGTTATCTGTCCAGCACCAGGGCAGACCAGATGGTCGGGGGAGGGAGTTGCCATTGTTTATTAGGACACCCTTGAGGTTGTCAGGCTCTCTGCTGTGGTGATGCTGGGCCTAGAGGCCCTCCATGTGTCGATTAGGGTCAAGGACAGTATTGGGATCTTGCTGGCATACCGTGCTCCCCGTGATCCAACCACCTCCGTACTGGAGCTAACCAGCTTCGTCTCTTCTGCTGTGTTGGGATCCCCAAGACTGATTGTCTTGGGTGATTTCAACATCCATGTGGAAGTGGGGGTTACCAGTCCGGCTCTTGAGTTCTTGGAAACCATGGCTTCCTTGGACATGTCCCAACATGTTAACGGCCCCATGCACTTTGGACCTGTTTTTTCTCTACTGAGCAGACAGAGTGTGGCCTGATGGTGACTGACCTTCAGTCCCCCTTGTTGTGGTCAGACCGCCACCTGATAAAGTGCAATCTCACAGTGGCCCTCCATCCCCAGTCTGCCCTTTCAGGCTATTGGATCCTATTGGATTCCAGGATGCCATGCATGGCATTCCGACTGACCTGGCTGGCACTGTCAAGGCCCTGGTGGATGGCTGGTATGCCGCCGCTGCCAGGGCTGTAGACATGATAGCTCCTAAATGCCCTCACTGCCACAGGGCCTGACCAGTGCCTTGGTTTAACCAGCAGCTATTGGGGGGGGGGGGTATTAATTGGAATAGGAGAAGGCTAGAGAGCGTCTGGAGGCGGAACCCAGTGGAAAAATAACTTAAAAGCTGCCAAGAGCTAACCTGTACCTTGTAAAGGTAGAGGCTGCTGTTAGAAAAGCCTACTTCACTGTCTGGATAAGCAAAGCATCCAATCAGCAGGCGGAACTATTCCGTATAGTACGCGGGCAGCAGGCGGAACTATTCCGTATAGTACGGGGCCTATCCAGAATTGGCCACGATTGGCCTCCATCTAACATTTCTTGTGACCACTCTGCAGCATTTTTAAAATCAAAAGTGGAGGCCATCCGCCGGGATCTCTCACACCCTATTTGAAAATAGTGGATCGAGCCAAGACATCCAGTGCAGTGCCTTGTCCATTAAGAATTACTCAGTTTCAACCTGTGACATCCGCAGAGGTCGACAAGGTCCTTGATCGCTGTCGAGCCACCACCTCCTCCCTTGACCCTTGCCCGGCCTGGCTAATCAAAGCCGCCAGGCTGGTGATAACTGAGCTTTAGCCCTCCTGACTACCCCGCATAAATGCTGGTTACTTGTTTGCATCTTCTTTAGTGATCTGCCTCCCTTCCATTTCTTCAGCATCCCATTTTGAAAACTCTGCTCATTTTGAAGGGTCCTTATGCAGCCATCCAGGTTTCCTTAGATGTCTCCCCCTTTTTTGTTCTAATTAGAATTGTTTGTGACCATCTCTTCAATATCCCACCCTTAAGAAACTTCCATCCACCCAGAATGCCCTTCGCTTTGAGTCTTTCTGTCCATGGGTTCTCACCCAGGATCTCTTATTAAAGTCAGCTTTCTTAAAGTCCAGAGTGCACATCCTACTATCCCTCAGCTTCCCCTTTTTGCAGTATCATGAGGGTATGGACTCTTCCACCCAGATTTCCCACTACTTTCAACACAGTGATCAGTAATTCCCTGTTGGTGTGGATCATGTGTATGATAGCTGATCTTCTTTTCATTTCTCCTACCTTCTGCAAGATAAAGTTGTCAGCTGGGCATGTGAACTAATTATGGCCTCTCATTGTACCCAGAAACTAAGAATAAACACAAAATGTATTCCAGTTCATTCCTTTAAACCTTGCTGCAAAAGCATGATGGAATGTGCTCCACAGTATACCAACTGGCTACAAGTAATGCCTTCTATATATAATCAGTATACAAGGCCAGAGTGAAAGGAATAAAGAGGAATAAAATTTATAATACACTAAAGTCTTGATAGCTATTTATTGCATTTATATTCCCTTTCTCCTTCAATTTGTTCCAAGCAGTGTACATGTTTCTCGTCCCTAGTTTTATCCTCAGAACAACCCTGTGTAATAAAATATATTTGACACATTTTATAAACTACTTCCCCGCCCACTCGCCCTCCAGAGCTGATGCATTGGGTTCAGCTGCTGCTGGTTAGGAGCTTCACTGGGCACCGTCCACTATGAGAAATGAGTGTGGGACTAAACCCAAGGTAAACCGTGTGCAGAAGTCTTCTTGTACGTTTGGTCTAAGAAATCATACTCACAGGAGTGGGACTCCTCTTGCCTCTCACAAGAACATCCTCAAGAACTTCCCAGCGCACCATGTTGTTCATTTCCTCAGGGGAAGGAAACAGGCTTAACCTCTTCTCTAAGTCTTTCTAGACAACAGCCAAAACAACGCAAGGTCACCATTTCTCCTTCCAACTTAACTCCACTGAAGGCACGGCTCTCAGCATCAGTCACAAAATCCCCGGATGTTAAGAAATATCCCAGGCCATACAGGGGAGTTCTTCAAACTCTGGGGAAACATTCGAAGGACTTGGGTGGGGAGCTTCTGGCCCTCCAAATCCTATGGCCAACAACATCCGCCAACCACCCCTACCAATGGCCAAGGAAGGCAGAGGTGGTTGTCCAAAATATCTGCAGAGCAAAAGGTATGCCACCTTTGACTTAGGGCTTGTGCGCAGGGCTTGGTTAGAGCCAATGGTTTAGCAGAGCCAGATCTCCCAGAGTTGAAGCCCCAGGGCTTTCGGAGCAGCAGGGAATGTGAGATCAACTGCTGCCCACCATCACACACACACCCCTCCCAGGCTTCCCTGTTTTTTCTGCATTTAGCTGAAAGCTTCACAACCGCTGGGACAGAAATGGATTCCCCCCAGAACGGTATGTTAATGCAAGCCAAGTAAAACATTTGAAGGAAGTTTGGTATTAAATGGGCAAATAAGAGCCATCAATTTGACAAAAGACCTGCTCCTAATATGAAGCGATCCAGCTTCCTGCTTTTTTTGGACTCTCCTGAGTGGGCTATTTAGGACCACTGTCACAAGCCTGTACACCACTGGTTCTTAACCTTAGGTTACTCAGGTGTTTTTGGACTGCAACTCCCAGAAGCCTTCACCACCAGCTGTGCTGGCTGGGGTTTCTGGGAGCTGCAGTTCAAAAGCATGTGAGTAACCCAAGGTTAAGAACCACTGCTCTACACTTCCAAATCTACCAGTACACCAACGATTAGAGCCTGCTCCATGGGGGCTTATCTTGCAAGATACACTTGAACTGGGGCAATGAGGACACACCTGCATAGCAGCTTCTTATCAGGCACCTCAGCAGCAAGCTAGGAGTGCACAAGATTATCAAAAACAGGCACCGGGAACTGACAGGGTTCCTTGAAAAGAGAGAATCTGCATGCCCCCAACTGGTCCTGCCTTATAGACACACTGAGACCAAAGTTAAAAGCAGCATGAGCTGAGGCTGCTAGTATGTGTGTTGACCCTGGCTGTTAGATAAAGCACTGGATGCAATTCAGAGTCTCCCTTCAAAATCAGTGTGAACATGATATGCCCTAACTGCTGTTAGGAAGGGATAAGCCATTTACACAAACATTTGTGCTTCAGCATTATTCTCTTTTAGAGGAGGTGTGAAGGCACATACCACATCTTGATCCAAACTATGTTGATCACTTAAGCAAGTCTTTAGCCGATCATCCATCTCCTGTGGGTCTATCTGTGAAATCAAAGCCAGGTTTATTCATTTGATTTGTTAGTTAGGATTTATACTACACTTTCCCCTCCAATGAGCTCAAGGCAGTGTACATTGCTTTCTTCACATTTTATTCTCACTATACCATAAGTCAAGTTATGCCCCAAGGTATAGTTTCATGGCTCAACCAGGACTTCAACTCTTAAATCCCTAAACATTACACCATTACACCAACTGAGATTACCCCAGATAATCAGGAATAAGATGCAGGTGTGAACAGGGTCTAGCTGTCTCAGAATTATAATAAAGGTGTGCTTTCCCCCCCATACAAATACTTTTAAAACCCAGGGGGTGAGCACCTGGGAACAATCAGACTGCAACACAGACATACGTAAAGCACCTTCACAAATGCCCCCTCCACAACAAGTGCATAACTTCAGGGATGGGGATATATTTCGTCCCTAGAAGTCTCCAAGGAAAACTGTAAGCATCATGTTGCCTGAATCACAAGGAAACAAAAAACAAGTACCCCTGCAAGCTGTATTACTCTTAAGGGATAGCCTCTGACTATGAATGTATGCATTCAATACTGTTAAAAAAAACACATAACATCTAAGCACAGCACTCCAGTGCCTGGTGGGATTCTGATAAGCTGCATCTGGAATCACCAAAGCCCAGAAAAGTATTTTCTCAACATTTTCCCGCAACATCTAGTAAATTGGGCAAGTGGGTGAAAAAAAGTAAGAAAATGCTGTGTAAGGAAAATGTTATTTAAATAAAGATGAATACAGATTGTCATAGGGAGCAACAAGTTACTTGATAAGCTGACATTCTGTATTTTTTAATGCCCTCCCCCCCCCATAGGTGTTAAATTGTCCTAAGATTTTGTAGGACTCCAATATTCAGTGTCTGTTGTCTTGAGATGAAAAAGGTATGTCTGCTTAACTGGTCAGCAGATTATTTATTTATTTATTTATTTGTTTGTTTGTTTGTTTGTTTGTTTGTTGCATTTATATGCCGCCCATCTAGGCATGGTCTACTCTGGGTGGCTCACAACATACAAATAAGAGTATGTTCATGTGTTAAATACTTTCAATGTACTCCTTTTCACATCCATGTACCATAGGCACCTTTCTTAGAAGAGGCAGGAATCCTTAGCACAGCACTCCAGTGCCTGGTGGGATTCATCTGGAATCACCAAAGCCCAGAAAATCTCTCAACATTTTCCCGCAACATCTAGTAAATTGGGCAAGCGGGTGAAAAAAATAAGAAAATGCTGTGTAAGGAAAATGTTATTTAAATAAGGATGAATACAGATTGTCATAGTGAGCAACAAGTTGATAAGCTGACATTCTGTATTTTTAATACTCTCCTCCCCCAATAGGTGTTAAATTGTCCTAAGATTTTGTAGAACTCCAATATTCAATGTCTATTGCCTTGGGATGAAAAAGGTATGTCTGCTTAAGTGGTCAGCAGATAAGAGTATGTTCATGTGTTAGATACTTTCAATGTACTCCTTTTCACATCCATGCACCATAGGCACCTTTCTTAGAAGAGCCAGGAATCCTTTCTCCATATTATGTAGGTGAGAAGGCCTATTCTGAGGGTCAAACTGGGCAATGTGTTTTCCACCTTCTTCTGTAGATTTCCTCTCCCAACTGGAAAATACATCTGTTTCATATGCTTTCTTTTGTGACAGACAATTGGAAAGTAAAAACAAGATCCCTGTCAAAATCTGATTGCTGAGCCACTAATCTCTGAGGAAAATTCATCATGGGCAGAGAAGAGATTAAATGGGAGATATGCATTCCCCTTAATGACCCTGAGAGGGTGCCCGCTATGATCCTCGTGTGCATTATCTGAAAACCAACAAAATGCTCACCCCTCCACTCCCCAGCTACAATTGGAAAGTAAAAACAAGATCCCTGTCAAAATCTGATTGCTGAGCCACTAATCTCTGAGGAAAATTCATCATGGGCAGAGAAGAGATTAAATGGGAGATATGCATTCCCCTTAATGACCCTGAGAGGGTGCCCGCTATGATCCTCGTGTGCATTATCTGAAAACCAACAAAATGCTCACCCCTCCACTCCCCAGCTTTCAGCTATTGATTTGCTCATGAAAAAACCCAGAATAGTAACTCATAATTTTCTTTCCCACTTGCCAGGACTATCTCAATGCCCAGCTTTACAAGTCGTTACATGCCAAGCACTGTCAGCACTACTGCAGTTTTCGTACTCTTTCAATACGATGCAATGAACTGAATTTATGGAGCTGGAGCAGCAGACTCTGTCTGCCTGCCATTTTTTCAAGAACTTGAAAGGTTGCCCTATAGCAGAACCTTGCAAGCTGTTATATGCCAAGCACTGTCAGCACTACTGCAGTTTTTGTACTCTTTCAATACGATGCAATGAACTGAATTCTGTCTGCCTGCTATTTTTTCAAGAACTTGAGAGGTTGCCCTATGGCAGAACCTCTGACACACCAGAGACTGCTGATCGTAACTCCCACAATCCTTTCCCATTGGCCGAAAATTCATCATGGGCAGAGAAGAGATTAAATGGGAGATATGCATTCCCCTTAATGACCCTGAGAGGGTGCCCGCTATGATCCTCGTGTGCATTATCTGAAAACCAACAAAATGCTCACCCCTCCACTCCCCAGCTTTCAGCTATTGATTTGCTCATGAAAAAACTCATAATAGTAACTCATAATTTTCTTTCCCACATGCCAGGACTATCTCAATGCTCAGCTTTGCAAGCTGTTATATGCCAAGCACTGTCAGCACTACTGCAGTTTTTGTACTCTTTCAATACGATGCAATGAACTGAATTCTGTCTGCCTGCTATTTTTTCAAGAACTTGAGAGGTTGCCCTATGGCAGAACCTCTGACACACCAGAGACTGCTGATCGTAACTCCCACAATCCTTTCCCATTGGCCATACAGTGGTGCCCCGCACATCGACGTTAATCCGTTCCAGGATTAACGTCGCTATCCAGATTTGTCGCTATGCGGTGGGGACCCTATAGGAATGCATTAAACTCCATTTAATGCGTTCCTCTTGGGGAAAAACAAAATGCCCCCCCCCCCCCCACTCCCCAGCTTTCAGCTATTGATTTGCTCATGAAAAAACCCAGAATAGTAACTCATAATTTTCTTTCCCACTTGCCAGGACTATCTCAATGCCCAGCTTTACAAGTCGTTACATGCCAAGCACTGTCAGCACTACTGCAGTTTTCGTACTCTTTCAATACGATGCAATGAACTGAATTTATGGAGCTGGAGCAGCAGACTCTGTCTGCCTGCCATTTTTTCAAGAACTTGAAAGGTTGCCCTATAGCAGAACCTCTGACACACCAGAGACGGCTGATTGTAACTCCCACAATCCCTTCCCATTGGCCATACTTGATAAGGATGATGGGAACAGTAGGCCAAAATTATTGAAGAGGGAATGCATTAAACTCCATTTAATGCGTTCCTCTTGGGGAAAAACTCACTGGTAAGCGAAGATTCCCCCATTCGGCTGCCATTTTCGCTGCCCTGTAAGTGAGGGCAGGGCGCGAAAACGCTGCGGGTGGCCATTTTGCTGATCCGGCGGCCATTTTGGAACCACCGATCAGCCGTTCTGCAAACATCGCAGTGCAAAGATCGGTAAACGAAACGCTTACCAATCATCGCAATGCGATTTTCGGCCATTGAGAACATCGCAATGCAATCGCATTAGCGATCGCAAAAAACACATCGCTATGCGGATTCATTGTTAAATGGTGCGCTCATTAAGCGAGGCACCACTGTACTTGATAAGGATGATAGGAGCAGTAGGCCAAAATTATTTAAGAGGGAGAAAGATTCACAACTTCTGTCCTAAAAGATACAATGTACCTGTGATATGGCCTATCTCAAATGTTTAAATATGTGGAACACATTCATATGTCCTGCAATATAGGGCCTTGAATAATGAAACAGCAAAACAAAACAGCATCAGTAATAATCACATATATGCTCTCCTGTCTCTGTTTGAGAGGAAGAATGTCTGTATTCTTCTCCCTGGCAGGTGAGCCACGATTTCTATTTTATTTATTTTATTTTATTTATGGCTCTCCTGTCTCTGTTTGAGAGGAAGAATTTATTCTTCTCCCTGGCAGGTGAGCCATGATTTCTATTTTATTTATTTTATTTGATTTATTTGATTTTTACCCCGCCCCACACCCCCTGATGATCCCGCCCAGCGGCCTCATATAGATGTTAAACAGCATTGGGGAGATGATCGACCCCTGTGGAACCCCACAATTGAGATTCCACGGGGCCGAGACATTGTCCCCAAGCTGTACTCTCTGGGGACGGTCCTCCAGGAAGGAGCGGAGCCAGGCAAGTGCCAGGCCACCGACTCCCAACTCGGGTAGCCTCCCCAGGAGGATACCGTGGTCAACGGTATTCCAGTGTTTCATGTTTCCTCACTATGACTATGTCTATATGTACACATGTATATGTGTCAAACGTTTAAAAAGGAAAGAAAAATCTAATAAGCTTCCAGTGAGTAGGTGCAACCAATGGAAAGCAGTTAAACAGAAGAGGTACAACGCTGTTTACCATGGCTAAACGGTCCTTGATTTTCTGTACTTCATCCTCCAGGTTGGCTGTGGCCGATTTCATGTTGCCTGTCTCATCCAACAAATCTTGTAACAGATTCATGGCCTGTAAGAGAATGAAACTGAGACTGAGATATCAGTGAGAGCATTAACATGTCAGTTTATGGGCTCTTCTAAATATTGGCCAAAAAAACCACTTCCCATTTATAAAAAAACACTTGGTTTTCTTGTGTCTCTGAAAGCCAAAACAGTACAGGCATGCCTTGAAAATCTGTGACCAGATCCTAACATCTTGCTCCTCCTGTACCTCAACATTGGGGGGGAGGGGCATTTTCTGCACCCAAAAAGGGGAAAAGTGAGGGGCCAGTTGCATTAATAAAGCCAAAAGAAATCTCCCAAAGTGCCACAATAGAACAGGTTTGTAAAAGACCAGCCCTTTGCAGTTATTTAAATTCCCATGTTTAGACTGCTGTTTGTTCTTTAGAGTTTGTACTGAGGGGCTTGCTCTGGAACTCTGGACCTGGCTCAGCTATTCAAACCATTACACCACACTGGTTCTCAAAGGAGGTTGCATGAATGTTCAAATCAAGAATAGGCATCTGGATGATCTTGGCAGGTATTATTTCAGTTGCGCGACCAGCAGGTAAACAGAACTTTGAAAGAAATAAGAAGGCAGAAAAGATTCTCAGATGGTGCAACCAGAGAGGCATTGATCCCACAGTTTGGTCTGAGCTGAGGACAAGCTGGTTTGCTCCTTGTCGGTTGACCACATAACCTACATGCCACCGGGAACCAGCATGGCCCATAATTGATGCGCCTATCTGCACCTTTTTTAGATCCCTGTCATGAGCTACTGTTTCTTTGGTATGGATAGGATCACTCCATTTTGGTTCCTTTCTAGGGTGTATGATTGCTGGGATTACACCAAAGCAGACATCTTATGCTGTCCCTTTGCTTAAGCCACTTAATCCTCAGAAAAGGAAGGCTTCTTTCTCCCTTGCCTACAGAAGAAGGAAAGGGAGAGGAAGTTTTCCATTTTGTTTCAATTGTTTTTAAAAAGCCCTTTGAATGTGTCACTGATGTGCTATGCAAGTTATCAACAATGAAAAAGAAATTGAAAACTATGTCTCTTTCTCCTCTGCAGGCAAGCAGGAAAGGAAGGAAGCTTTCTATTTCTCAAGATTAAGTAACTGCCAAACACAGCGGAGGAAACAAGAGGGGGATTTTTTTCTTTTCCTTTAAAAGAAGAAAGATCAATCTAGATCAGTGGTTCCCAATTTTTTTTTTCACTTGTGTATCCCTTGGCAGCCCATTTCCGTAAGTTGTAACTTTAATATTCAAAAATGTTTGTAATCAATATGGTTAGTGTTGTTTCCAATTTATAAGTTGTAACTATAAATAAATAGCCCAATAGTGGGATTAAAAAGCAATGGAATAATAAGGTGAACAGACAGTGCATATGTATGTATGTATGCATGCATGCATGTATACTGTATGTATATATATATATACATACAGTATACATGCATGCATGCATGCATGTATGCATGTATGTATATGCTGTGTGTGTATACACATGTGTGTGTATGTATGTATATATACTGTATATGCACACACACACATTCAAAACTCAAAAGATACAATTAAATCAAGTCAATTCATCACAGAAGAACTCACTCACTGAACACCATTCACAGCACTGACTAAGGTGCTGACTTATATATGGTTCCAGTGCAACAACGCTCGAATGTTCACGAAGCAGAGGAGCGTGAAATCTGAGCCTGTGCAGGGCAAACAACGGAGCACACACACTGTAGTGGCATTTTTGCAACACACTGTTTAGGGAGGGCCTCCCCAATGTTTATTAAATTAGCAAGGCAAGGGAGTAGAGTTTTCCTTGAGGTTAAATAACAAAGAAAACCCATTCTGCCATTTGTCATAATAGTCAATTAATTTTACAACTTTCAAAATGTATTTGTATCTTACACTGTTGACAGTGTTTCCCGCCATGAATCAATGTTTTTTCAAATACCCCTCAATGTCCTGGTTTGTGGGGGGTACGCATACCAAAATGTATTTGTATCTTACACTGTTGACATATGTGACTTTTCCCGCCATGAATCAATGTTTTTCAAATACCCCTAAATGTCCTGGTTTGTGGGGGATACACATATGACAGGTTCAGAATCACTGGTCTAGATCATGCTAAATAGGGTTGCTTAAGGTGTGGGCGATCTTTGCATGTGGGTGCAAGAATCGGCCTATATGACATGTTGGTGTTGTTTAGTCGTTTAGTCCTGTCATGACTCTTTGTGACCCCATGGACCAGAGCACACCAGGCCCTCCTGTCTTCCACTGCCTCCCGGAGTTGGCTCAAATTCATGTTGGTTGCTTCAATGACACTGTCCAACCATCTCGTCTTCTGTCTTCCCCTTCTCCTCTTGCCTTCACACTTTCCCAACATCAGGGTCTTTTCCAGGGAGTCGTCTCTAATGACATACTGCACCTCAAAGCAACCTTGTTTAATATGATCTAAACTGATCCAGGCTGGTATAACTGGGCCATCTAGTATCAAACAAAGTCTGTTTCTAGCTCTCACAGTAACTACAAAGGAAAGAAAAAGATTAAATTGTGACTGCCGTGAGTGTTCTCATTAAAGTTCCTCAAATAGAGTCATGCATACATCCACAGCAAGATTATTTTTTTGCCAATAGCATATGAGCAAGAAAACTAGACCACCTTGCCTAACCTTTAAGATTTAGCTTATTATTAAACCACTACATAAAACAATTGGTCCTGATGGAGAAGGATGGAGAAGCTCTGCCAAATACAAAGCCAGGAAATAATAGTATTAATCTATCCATATGATTAAGTAATTAGTCCCCTCCTTCTTCTTCACTGCACTTGTTGTCAGGGAGTTTGTTAGAAATCAGAACACTAAGTATTTCATTAAGAAATCAAGTACAGACTTGCCTTCTCAGGCCTTTGCTAGATGTCACTGGACATGCTTATTCTCTGCTCATTAAGCCAAAGGCTGTTTCAACAGACTTTGCCGCAGAGTTCAAAAAGTCATATTTTTTTAATATATGCTATCTGATGAATTCTGTTGAGTTGGAGTCCAAAAAGTAATTTTTCCAGGCTTGGCTCTGCACTGTCGTCATAATCCATCCACTCTGGATGTGGGATACTTCTCAACCGGTTCGAGTTACTTCTATAGCCTTTCCCCACAGAAAACTGCTATTTGTATCAGCTTGCCCATTCAAAGCCTTTTGAAGTGAGTCAGTATTACAGTCCACTTACAAGCTGAGTACCACGATTGAGGCTGTTATACCCACTTATCAGAGTCAGCACCACCAAATTCAATGGGACTTACTTCTGAGTAGAAATAGGTAGAGAATTAGAATAGTGTCTTGCCCAAAGTTGTTTATGGTACAGTTGTCCTCCTTTCCCCCCCCAAAGGATGGATTTTAACCACCTCGTGCAATTTTAAGTCCAAGGGTAACTATATGTGAATATACTACTTTCTCCCACTACACACTACTTTATATTAATTTAAGGCAGCACTGAACTAGATTCCAGATGACTGATTCACCACCACCTTTAAACAACTGGAAGCCTGATTCTGACATTTCACTATCCATCAGGAGATGATTACACAGCAAAAGGCAAAGATAGCTCAAGATATTTTACTAGCTGAAGAAAAGAGTAAGTTGGCAAGCCCCTTGTCCATATCTCCAGCTTTTTAATATAATGAAACTGACTAAACTGGCCATTTAAATTGGCTTTACTGATCCTGACCCAAGCCAAGATGATTTCCTCCTCAGATGACTCCAGCACTATCTCAGACATCTCCGGAGAGGCTATGTGGGCCCATCTGTAGCTAAGGATCTGGAGACACTCTCAGACAGGGTTCCTTGATGGGCCTGGACAATCACAGTGAAAATTTGACCAACAGCCAAGCCCCAGGGAACAACAATATCAGAAGTCGAAGATGCCTGCAGTCACTCATTAACAGAGGATGTGCATCCAGAAGAACCAGGCTCCTTTGAAATAAGGGGTCTCCTTAGAGCTAAAAGACTCAGAAAACGTTAAAGGCTGCCCTAAATGGTTTGCTCTGAGCCTGGGTGGAGTATCAAAGAACAGGCAACATAAGTTCCTAAATAAAGACTGAGTTATTGGAACAACACAAGTTATAGCTCTAGGCAAGCGACCTCCTGCTGAGTATTGTGACTATCCTAAGGCTAATACCGTGTTCCTGTAATTTTTACCTCAGCTTTGCCTCAGACCCCTTTATACGAAATAATTAGACCATCACTCCCTTTTTAACTGCCTTACTGTGCTTGACCTCAGTTTCTCCTTAAGAAATCTCCATTTCTCTGAAACCACTCTGAAATCTCAACCCTCCAGGGTTTGGCTACTCTCTTACTCTATGTCCGGTTTGCCGATTAGTTCTCCTGGTCAGAGAACCAAAGCAGAATGTACACTGCTAATAGGGCAGTGGGCTAGCTTAGGAGGCGCAGAGCAGGCTGTGTAGCACAGGAAAGTGGCCAGTCGGGGACTAAGAAAAAATAGCGGTGAAATTGCTGGACCACTGCTTCCCTCAGCAGTAAGCATTTACTGCAAGGGCTTCATTCTGCCAAATGGCAAGGCAGTCCCAGCAACAGCCTTTAAAGAGAGTTTTCTCTTTTCCCTTCACTGCACAGTGCTGGCACAATTGATAATATATCTCCATCCATCAGCATGCTCGGCTCACCAGTCCATCAGTGTGCAGCAGCTATCTCTAGAATTAATGGGAATCACTGAAGAAATGGAAGCTTTAACAACAGTTCCAGGAGCTCCTGGTTGCAAAGCAATTCTCTGCAGGGAGCCATTCTTAGAATACCTCACAGTTCACAAGTTGAGTGGTCTTTAAGTTCACCAGCTCTAAAAGAAGGAAATAGGACCTAGAGTGGACACAAAATGTTATGGACAGCTATCCATTCTAGCCAGTCCTAATGCCCCTTGTAGCAGGTCAACTATTATCTGATATTATGTCACAAACCCTTTGGATTTCCCAGCTACCTATGCCTTTACGGGTTTGTGTGACAAATGATAGAGCAACTACAT